TACACTCTTACGTGGGCCATGGCGTCAGACCTCTGGGCTTGACTGGTCATCTCGGGATTTCTTCCACTGAAGACACAGAATCAGAGCTAGGAATGAAAAGAGAGACATAAAAACCACCTGCAGTTTGGGTTTCCTAATGACCTAATGTGACCTCGCTCCTCACCCTTTCTTCCCAACATGCACATGCACATGACTCCCTGGGGAAGGTGGAGGGGTACTGGACAAACCCAGGCCCTCCAGGAGCCCAGAGCCCAGCTGCACATGGCCTTGGCCACCAGATTCTGTTCTGTGAGGTACCTGTCATACCTGATAGCAATGCCTTTCTTTGTTTCAGGTGGGAGCTGACCACACTGGAGAGAGCAACCGGCGATTCAGGGTGGACTGGGAGACACGGAAGCAGCTGACCTGGAGACTGAAATTAACCATACAGAAGATCAGTTGTGTCTCCAGGCTGAAGTCCACTACAGTACCACAATGCTGAACCCAAGGCTGGAGTGACAGTACCAACTCATAGTGTGTGTTTCCTCACGGTTAAAAGTGGAATAAAAAGATTATAAGCCATGACCGTCTCAATTATAAGGAAGATAATCAACCCAAACACCTAGTCATACATAATGATGAATGTAAGGTAGCTGTTGTTATGGAGGATCAAGAACATTACACATCCATTTAGGTTTCTTTCTTTCTTTTTTTGTGGTGCTGGGGATTAAACCCAGGGCCTTGCTCATGGTAAGCCAGTGATATCCCAGGCCCCATTTAATGTTTTCATAAAAGAAAGTCAAGTCTGCCCTTTCCCATTTGTTCTTAGGCTGAAGTTTGTGCTGTTCAAAATTGCTGCCTATAGAATCAACACTAAAAACTTTCAGAACCTGATCTCAAGAATAAACTCTTAATCAAATTAGCACAGGAGATTCTGATATATTACAGAAAACATGCTCCCTCTCCACAAGCACCCAGGGGAACAGAAACATGATTCTGCATCAAAAATCAAGCTCAGAGACTGATCTGAGAAGATGACAGTTTGAGAAATTAGCATCGAGTGAACAGCTGCATCGAGTGTTCTAAAGTGACAAGGGAGACTAGTGTGACTTTTGTTTGTTTCCTTTGTGATGCTGGGGATTAATCCCAGGGCCTCATATGTGCTAGACAAGTGCCAAACCACTGAGCTATATCCTAGCTGTTTTTATTTTTAAATGGTATCTCACTAGGTTTCTCAGGCTGGCCTTCAAATCTGGGATCCTCCTGCCTCAGCCTCCTCAATTGCCAAGGTTACAGGTGTATGTATGAACATTTTAACTGCTGCAACCCTATTCTTTTATCCTGGAAATGTTACTTATATTGCCCACATCTATTATTTGTGTTCATGAATCTTGCAGGTGTAATTTGTTCAGTCCCTACTTGTAAGGTACCCAGTGATATTGTAGCATTGTTCATCAGCACATACTGGGATGTTCTGTGAAAAAAAAAAAACATTAAAATCCTGAATTTAATTATGAAAGATTGTTGGGAGGTCTGGAACATACCAACATTTTAAAAACGTTTTTCTCTGAATGGTACAATTAGAATTTTTTTTTTTTTTTTTTAGATGGGGTTTTGTAAGTTGCCTAGGCTGGGATGGAACTTGTGATTCTCCAGCTTCAGCTTCCCAGGTAGCTAGAGTTACAGGCATGGCCACTGTACCTAAGGATTGTGGATAATTTAAATTTCTTCTTTATGAGCTCCCTAGGGGTCTCAATTATTTTATAGCAGGTCAGTGTTAATTCCATTGTAAGAAACAACATGAAGAATCAAAAGGAGCCTTGGGGTGTAGCTCAGTAGTAGAATACTTGCCTAGCATGTGGGAGGCCCTGGGTTCAGTTCTCAGCCACACACACACACACACTCACACAACTTGCCTACAAAAAGGGTCACATTGGTAGGGAGCAGGTACACTGGAGTCACTGGTCAAACTCTGAATAGACAGGTCTGTGTCAGGCATCATTGTCTCAAAGATATCCACATGGTAATTCTGGCACTGTGAATGTCACCTTAATGGCAAAGGGAAGTTAAAGTTGCAGATGGACTTAAAATTGCTAGCCTTTGAACTTTAAAATAGGGATGATTATCCAGAATTATCTCAGTGAGCCCAATGTAACCGAAAGGGTCCATAAGCAAAGGCGGGGTGGGGGTGGGGGTTAAGAAGAGAAAGATGTGATGGCAGAAGCAGGGTCAGAATGAGGTGACAGGAAGGACTTGACTTGTCTTTGTTGGTAAAAGAAGGGTCAGAAGCCACACAGGGCCAGCAGCTGCAGGAACCCTTATTAGGAACATGTCCAGAGCTCTGCCAACACCTTGGTCTCAGCTCAGGGATGCTGATTTCAGATGTGTGACCACTAGGGCTCTGTTACCAATAAATCTATGGTAATTTTTTACAGCAACAAAGAAATTCGATATAAGGCCTAATATTGCAAAAAGGGTGTTGCTAAAATCATTATCACCTTCCTGTCCTGGATTATCTTTTCCCTGTCTTTGGAACACAAATCAGACCCTGAGCAAGTAATGTAGCCAAGTTGCCTCTGCAGACTCCCCGCTGACTGAATGCTGTGTCCAATCAAAATGCCTAAATTGAAATCCTGTCCCCCAAGGTGAAGGACCAGGAGTGGGGCCTTTGTAAGTGATTATGTCAAGAAGGTGGGGTCCTCATAAATGGCATTAATGCATTTACAGAAAGGATCCTCAAGCCCTGAGCTCTCTTTATGCCCTGTGAGGACACGGTAGGAAAGGGCAGTCTGCAATTTGAAGGCCTCACTCCCTTATCTTGGCCTTCCAGCCTCAAAACTGTGCAAAACACACATCTGGTTTTTTTTAGCCATCCAGACTGTGCACTTTTTAATTTTTTTTATTATTATTTTTTAGTTGTAGTTGGACACAATATCTTTATTTATTTATCTTTATGTGGTGCTGAGAATTGAACCCAGTGCCTCACATGTGCCAGGCAAGAATTCTACTACTGAGTTAAAACCCCAGCCTGAAGATAGATTTTTCTGTTTTTGATACCAGTGATTGAACTCAGGGGCACTTGGCCACTGAGCTACATCCTCAGCCCTATTTTGTATTTTAGTAGGGTCAGGGTCTCACTGAGTTGCTAAGTGCCTTCCATTGCTGAAGCTGTCTTTGAACTCGTGATCCTCCTGTCTCAGCCTCCCTAGCTGCTGGGATTATAGTATGCGCCACTGCACCTGGCCCAAAGATACACTTTCTTAATGCCATGGAATCACAGTTTTTCTTTAAGGGGGGAAACACTGACACATTACTGTATAACAAACACTACTGTATCATAAACATGGTATATGTGTGAGTGCATTTTGTAATTTTGGAAAGTTAAAGATGGAGCTCAAGGAAGGGCCTCAAGCTGAGCTTCCTGTGCTGGGCTGTCTGAAGCTCTGTTCACTGTATGACCTCTTAGTATACAGTCACATTCACATGGATGTGGCTCACTGTCTGTGAACACTCAAGCTCTCCACGCAGCCTCCAAAGCTGGCATGTCCTGAGCACTTATGCTTTAGGGGGCCACAATATGTTTTTAAGTGTATGAAAAATTTCATCCTCATCACAACTCTATTTTCAGAAAGCTAAAAAAGGTAGGAAAAAGATGGGTGTGGTAGCACACACCTGTAATCCCAGTGGCTTGGGAGGCTGAGGCACGAGGATCGCAAGTTCAAAGCCAGCCTCACGAAAAGCTAGGTGCTAAGCAACTCTGCAAGATCCTGTCTCAAAATTAAAGGGCTGAGGATGTGACTCAGTGGTTAAGTGTCCCTGGGTTTAATCCCTGGTTTAAAAAAAAAAAAAAAGCAGAGGCAAGAACAATATGCTCTTGATCAACACCTTTAAGTCTCTTGTTAAGATCTAGGGGAAAATCATTCAAAACCAAGACATGTAACTCACCTGAACCTTGACTTCACGATGTGTGATTAGTCTTCCAACTGAGGATGCTTTCTCTTTAGCTGGATTGGGGAGAGAGGAAAACAAGAATGAGGCACCAGGGTCTTTCTGCTGCACAAGCTAACATAGAAAACACACTCGGAGGTACATCTGTCCCTAGGTCCTGAACGTCTGAGAGTTCCCTGAGCACCAGGCTCAAACACTCAGGTTCTGGAACATGACGCAGCTCTGCTGGCTCAGGGTGATCTCCCACCACCTAAAAAAACCCGCACTTTTAGGCCATCTTTTTTCGTCCAGATAGCCTGTGGGGAGAACACTTAGGACTCTGAAACTGTCATCTCACGACCATGTCTTTGTCCTTGTTGGTCATTTTCATAAGGAGATTCAGGCTCTGATCTCTGTCCCCTGGGGCCCATTGCTCTCAGGTAGGTACTACTCAGTAGAAGCAGGAAGGAAACAAACTATAGGTTGCAAGATCACACATCTGTCATCACCAAAATTGCCATCTGCTGAAAAGCCACCAAAGAAGCACAAATCCGTGCCAGACATGGTCTCACAAACCTACACCCCACCACGGACTGTACCTCGGCCCGTCACACCCACCGGCTCAGCCTGTCACACCTGTGGCTCCCGGAGTGGAGTGGTGGCTCCTGACGGATGCTTCCCGCCTCCCGCTGCCTGCGCAGAAATGGACAGCAGTCCACACGGTGGAGCAAGTGCATTAACCTCTGCCTGGCGCCCCGCATCCCGGTGACGCACACAGCACACCTGCGTCACCGTTACCGGGACACAGCTCCGCGTCAGGGCTGCACGCCCCCACACAACATGTTGCTTGCGGTCCCTGCGACCCCGGGCCAGGACAGGCGCATGCGCAGAGCTCGGGCATCCTTGTGCGCGCGCACACACCCAGCAACACACACGAGCGCGCGCTCCTTCCAACTCCTGTCTTGGGCCTCTTGGGGACGCTGCCCCGTGACATCGGAACTACCCTCGCTGCAGAGTGTGCGTTTCCATGGCACCCAGGCCTCGCACCGCTTCCCAGCATGCAGCGGGGGCCGCGCGGGAGGGGCAGAGGCGGAGGGGCAGCAGCAGACGCTGCGCGGGACATCCCACCCCCAGCGCCAGGCGGCGGGGGCCCACCGAGAAGCAAGAGGGCTCCAGACACAGGGCCACTGTGACGCAGCGAGGCCCTGGCCAGTGCACAGGCGGCCGTCGGCAGGTGGGGCTGGCCAGCGAGGGGGACGCTGGGCTAACAAACCAGGCGGTGCAGCCTGCGGCGGTGCCCAGTGCACCCGACCTCCAGTGCCACAGCGCCCACCGCGTCCACGTCGCAGTAGGTGTGACTCATCGGGAGGCCATATCAAGTGCACAAGGGGATGTGTACAGGTTTATACAAACGCCACATTTTCTATAAAGGACTATCATCCTGGAAAAGGGGGCGGGGCAGTAAAACACCGTGTCCCTGAATGCCCCCCCCCCCTTTCTAAACCTATGTATTTTTACTTGTCCTTTTTAGATATACATGACAGTAGAGTGCATTTTGACATACATTCATAGAGTATAACTTCCCATTCCTGGGGTTGTACATGATGTGGAGTTACACTGGTCGTGTGTTCACATATGAACATAGGAAAGTGATGTGCGGTTCATTCTACTGTCTCTACGATTCTCATCCCCCTTCCCTTCTCATCATTCCATTTGTCTAATCCAATGAACTTCTATCCCCACCCCCTCTTATTGTGTTAGCATCTGCATATCTTCATATCAGAGGGAACAACCAGCCTTTGGTTTTTTGGGAATTGCTTATTTCACATAGCTCGATAGTCTCCGGTTCCATCCATTTACCAGCAAACACCATAATTTTATTCTTCTTTATGGCTGAGTAATATTTCATTGTAGGTGTGTGTGTGTGTCTATCTCACATTTCTTTCTCCATTCATCTGTTGAAGGGCACCTAGGTTGGTCCCATAGCTTGGTTATTGTGAACTGAGCTGCTATAAACATTAATGTGGCTGTGTCACTGAAATATGCTGATTTTAAGTCCTTTGGGTATATACTGAGGAGTATATAACTGAGTCAAATGGTGGTTCCATTCCAAGTTTTCTGAGGGCTCTCCATATTGTTTTCCAGAGTGCTTGCACAAATCTGCAGTCCCAACAGCAGTGTTATGAGTGTACCTTTCCCCCCACATCCTTGCCAACTTATTGTTACCTGTAGTCTTGATAACTGCCATGTGACTGGAGTGAGAGGGAATCTCAGTGTAGTTTTTTTTTTTTTTAATATTTATTTTTAGTTTTCGGCGGACACAATATCTTTGTTTGTATGTGGTGTTGAGGATCGAACCCGGGCTGCACGCATGCCAAGCGAGCGCGCTACCGCTTGAGCCACATCCCCAGCCTCAGTGTAGTTTTATTTTGCATTTCTCTAATTGCTAAAGATGTTGAATTTTTTCATATATTTGTAGGTCATTCGTATTTCTTCTTCTGTGAAGTGCATGTTCAGGTCCTTTGCCCATTTTTTGACTGGGTTATATGGTTTGTGGTAAGTTTTTTGAGTTCTTTATATATCCAGGAGATTAATGCTCTATCTGAGGTGCAGGTGGCAAAGATTTTCTCCCATTCTGCAGGCTCTCTGATTCTTGATTTTACTTCTTGCACCTTAGGAGTCTTGCTGACAGGATTGAGAGTTGGACCTACAGTTTCTTCTAGCAGGTGCAGCATCATTTGTCTTAATTCCTATGTCCTTGATTTACTTTGATTTTGTGGAGGGTGAGAGAATGAGGTTTAATCTCATTTTGCTACATGTGCATATCCACTTTTCCCAGCACCATTTGTTGAAGAGACTGTCTTTTCTCCAATATGTTTATGTGATTGCCCCCTTTCTGTTCCCCAAATCCTAGCCAAGTGAATGAGAGCAAATCTGGGTAGGAACGTCCAGATACACTATCTAGGAGGATACTAGATTTCTCTTATGCACACTGGGAACTAGGGCAAGTCTGTGTTACCTGTGGAAACTACTTTTTTTCTTTATTTTTGGGGGAGGGGTACCAGGGATTGAACCTAGGGGTGCTTAACCAGTGGGCCACATCCCCAGCCCTTTTTATTTTTTGAGACAAGGTTTCACTAAGTTGCTTAAGGCCTCACTATGTTGCTGAGGCTGGCTTTGAACCTGTAATTCTCCTGCCTCAGCCTCCTGAGCTGCTGAAATTACAGGTGCATGCCACCATGCCGGGCAAAAGCTGCTTTCTTGCATGTGCATAACAGGTGCTCCTTGGGATGCTGGTCATACAAGCAAGCTCAGCAAACTGATGCCAACAATGTTGCTGCTTCTGAAGCCTAACAGGTAAAACCCCCGAGTGGGGACGGTTGCAGAACTGAGGGCACTGTGTCACTTGTCCAGCTAGCTGCCCTGGGCAGAGTGCTGTGAAGCGGCGGGGGGGAGGGGCTCTGTTTGCCAAAGCAGCACAAGGGTCAGAGGTATACTCAGCCTGTCACCACGGAACTCTCTGTGGCGCCGTCTCTGGCCTCTTGTACCTCTCTTCAAACTTAATCTTGGCCTCCCGACGGGCCTACGTTTAAGAGCAGGTCTCTGAAGACATCCTTGTTGACGACAGTTTTGTCCAAGGGGATACCTGAAGAGTACCTTGTGGGCATGAGGCGATTGTAATTATAAAATTTCACAAAAGACTTGATCTTTGACCTTTTGGTGATTTTTCTTCTTGCCCATGGTAGCTGTCACTTTGTGGAGACAGCAGTTCGATTCCAGCCACCAGAGCATGGCTGTAGGGACGATCTGATGTGCCATCATCAATATCTTCACAATGACAGCTTTGCATCCGGAGTGATCCCATCTCCCATGGTGTCTCCAGGCACTTTCTTTGGCATGTCTACAACCTACTCCACTGCCCTGGCACACCTGGGCAAAGGGCGAGACAAGGGACGTGAGAATGTGTGGATTTTGATATCTGCTCTTGCAGAGGAGGGACGGTGTGTGTGTGTGTGTGTGTGTGTGTACTGGGACCAATTCCACTGAGATACTGCTGGACAACTGTATACCTCATGAGTCAAACAAGTGATGTGTTCCTTTAACATGTGTGCATGTACTTGTAAATGATTAAAAGATTTGGAGTCTAGGCAAGCACTCCATTATTGAGTTACCTCCCCAACCCCCAACTTTTTTTTTTTTTTAAGTTTAGCCTTGAGTGTGCAGGAAGAGTTCAGAAGATATTAATTTGGACTAATTTGCTGAAAACCTTTCCTTTGTTCCCTGGCACCTAGCAATACCCAAACCAGCTCTCTGATGTCTACCCAGGGTCACATGTGGAGCACTGACTGGAATGTGGCTTCAATTCCAAACTGTGCCTTGTGGACACTGACGGCTCCTTCGGTGCTGCCTCCTTTCAGGTGGTGAAGGGAGTGTGGATTGTACTTCTGCACTTGTCACCACCTGATTAGTCTGCACCTGTGGTCGGACATGTTAGAGAGAGGAGATAAGGAGGGAGACCTGAAGACCAGCTCTCCACCTGCACAGGGCTGGGGCGGTAGCCCTGTTACTGCGCAATCCTCACAACAGTGTCCCTTCCAGCAGCTCCTGGAGCACCAGGCCTGTCATTCTCCGCAGGCCTCGACCAGGGGCTGCCTGAGCTTCCTCCTCAGCATCTCCCCTTTGGTGGGTTAAGACCATGTGAGGGAGCAGCTATGCCCTGGCATCATGCCTTCATCTCCAAGTTGGAATGTCACGGGCTCTGGAGACCTCAGGCAGTTAGCTGCCGGAATCTGACTAAAGACTCTACAGTTTGAAAATCATCAAGGAAATAACTGTAGTTCACAAATGTATGCTTAAGCTTACTTAGAGGATTAATTTGTTTTGTGAAAAAATATTTTTATTTTTTGAAATTTTTAGGTTTTGAGATAGAATCATGCTTTGTTGCCTAGGTTAGCCTCAAACCTGTGATCCCGGTCTCAGCCTCCCGGAGTGACTGGAATGTAGGAGTATGCCACAGCTCTTGGGCTTCTTTTTATTTTACTTATTTTTTGCAGTACTGGCACCTGAAGCCAGGGCTGTTTTACCTACAATGCCAGCCCTTTTTCTCCTACTTATTTACTTACTTTTATGACATGAGGATTGAACCTACGGGCACTCGACCACTGAGCTGTATCCCGACCCTTTTTATTTTGAGATGGAGTCTAATTTGCCTTGCTTGGCCAGGAACTTGTGATTCTCCTGCCTCAGCTTTCTGAGTCTCTGAGACCACAGGTGTGTGCCACCATGCCTGCTTCTTTTTATTTTGAGACAGACTTGTTAAGGTGTGGAGGCTGGCCTTGAATTTGAGATTCTCCTGCCTTGTCCTCCCAAGTACCTGGGATTGCATATGTGATTGGCTAGGGGGCTTCTTATTAAATTAAGAGAATTATAGATTCATATACAGTTATGAGAATACTGAGATATCCTGTGTATCTTTCACCCATTTATACCAACTAGTAATTATATTATAGTTTAATATCACGACCAGGATGCTACCAGTGATATAATTCATTGATGTAACCTAGATTTTCCAGAGAATGAATAAATTACATATATACACATGTATATATACTTTCAAAAAATTTTTGTGGTGCTTGACATCAAATCCAGGGCCTCAAACATGTTAGGCAAGTGCTATACCTCCCACTCAGCCATACCTCCAGTTCTCCAGGAAATAAAATTTTAAATAAAATCAAGGCCAGGCGTAGTGGTGCATGCCTATTATTCCAGTAGCTCGGGAGGCTAAGGTAGGGGGATCATGAATTCAAAGCCAGCCTCAGCAGCTTAGCAAGGCCCTAAGTAACTTAGCAAGACCCTAAAAAGGGCTGGGGATGTGGCTCAGAGGTTAACGCCCCTGGGTTCAATTCCCAGTACAAAAATCAAACCAAACCAAAACAACAACAAACAAAACACCAAACAAACAAAAGAGAAATATCTCACAGTAAGAGATAGAATATATAAACTACAGATTTATGTAACGTTATAAATGTGTTTACTAAGAATGTTGTGAAATTCAAGATGAATCCCCAAGTGAAGGAGGTGGATTGTGAAAGGTCTGGATAATTTGGTAAGGGATACCGTGGTGAAATTTAGAATGCAGGCTCTGGGGCTGGGGATATAGCTCAGTTGGTAGAGTTCTTGCCCTGTATGCCCAAAGTCTTGGGTTCAATCCCCAGCACCACAAAAAAACAAAAACAAAAACAATACAAAACAAAAAGAATGCAGGCTCTGACTTTCAGGATGTGATTCTAAGCTCTGACAGGTACTAAGTTGTGTCTGCTTCCTCACTAGTATAATTACGATAAGACGCTATGAAGATTGAGATAATCTACACAGAACACTATGATTATTCAGTACAAATTGGCTGCTGATTCTAAAAATCAGTAACATTAAACATCCCTTAATATATGTTTATGAATAAAATCCAAGCCACCATTTCCTTCCTTTCTATGCTGGGGATTGGACCCAGGGTGCTTTACCACTGAGCTATACCCCCAGTCATTTTTACTAATTTTTGGGACAAAAGCCTGCTAAGTTGCAGAGGCTGGCCTTGAACTTGTGATTCTCTTGCCTAAGTCTCTAGAGCTGCTGGGATTACAGGTGTGTACCACGTCTGCCTGGCCATTTTCCTTTTTTTCTTGCATCGGAATATGTATGAGCTTCTTAAACCAGCTGCCAATATAATGAATGCAAACTAAAAACAACTTTCAGAGCATGTTAAGAATGAAATTCATTTTATTTAGCAATATTGGCACAAATGATTCTATGACACACAAAGAGGAAATGTTCCCTCTCCACAAGCAAGCAGGGGGCAGAGGCATGATTTTGCATCAGAAATGAAGCTGAGACATTCTAATTTGAGAAGATATCAAATTGGGAACATTGGTAAGAGACTTGAATTGTGCACTCCCTTTGATGAGGGAGGTTTGTGTGAATATTTTTAATTACTCCCTCTTCTTTTTTACATATTCTAAATTTACTACTTGTATAGTGTATATATTTAAAGCACCAGGCCCCAGTAATGATTGTCATGTTTTGTGAAACAAACTAGAAAATCATAGAAAATCTAATTCTGAAAGGCTGTATTTTTTAATGTTTTATCATGGGATTAGTTTCAAACCATGACATTAATCCTATAAGGTATAACATGTGAGTGATTTTTAAAAAAATTTGTCTTTAGTTGTTGATGGACCTTTATTTTATTTATTTTTATGTGGTGCTGAGGATTGAACCCAGTGCCTCACACATGCTAGGCAAGCACTCTACCACTGAGTTTCAGCCCCAGCCCATGTAAGTGCTTTTGATGAGAAGACAAAGTACTAGTACTGAAGGGCAGAGGCCAAGCAGTGCTACAGCCTTTTGAGGCTGGGAAGGTAGGGAAACATTTTGAGACAGAAGCTTGCTAAGTTGCCTGGGTTTGGTATCTTTTTTTTTTTTTTTTTTTTGTTCTAATCCATTAATTATTTTTTTGTGGTACTAGAGATTGAATCCATGGCACTGTATCACTAAGTTATATCCCTAGCCCTTTTCAATTAATTAATTAAATTTTGCAGTACTGGGGATTGACCCAGGGTTGTTTTTTTTTTTTTTTTTTATCACTGATTGACATATCCAGTTGTTTTTATTTATTTATTTTAAAATTTGAGACAGAATCTTGCTAAGTTGTCCAGGATGGTCTTGAACTTGTGCTCCTTCCTCTTCCCTCAGTGTCCTGAGTTGCTGGGATTACAGGTATGTGCCACCATGCCTGGCAAATTACTGATGTTTTAAGCCACCAACTGTGTGTGTTTGTTTCAGCAGCAAAGGAAATGAACACAAGCTCTAACACTGTAAAACTGATTCAAACAAGTTTTCTCCCTGAACTTGAACATCTTTGACCACATCTCAGCTACTGAATAAGACCCTGAACATCATAGAGCAACTCTCTGCCTGAGCAGACTGAGCCAGGGAGCTGTGCGGAGCAGACAGAGGGTGTTCAGTGATGAGAATGGTCTCTCCACACCTGGCCACCCTCCTTTCCTAATTGTACTGAAGACCAAGTAAATGTTACGCTGGGTCTGATACCTACCAAAGTGTCTCATGAAAGGAGAATTTCAGATGGTTAAAAATTTTCATGCACACTATGATTTATGACTATTAACATTCCATAATTTTATCCTGTTTAACACTTCACCTCTAAGTAATGTCAACATAAAAAACAAGAAATGTCCCAATAACAGACACAGTGGGGAATCTAAGGAGCTCTGACAATGAAATGTCACATTTTGTCCTGGAGAGGGAGCTGGAACAGATGAACTTTAGGTAAGAAGGGAAACTTGAGTAAAGCATGGAGCTTAACTTATATGACAAGTAGAAAGTGGGCTGTTAATTGTCACTATGCCCCATATTCTTAACTCTGGTGTAGGAAACTCTTTGTAATATTGGTTGATCTAAAAGTGGCCAAGTAACATTCATGAAAAGAGGAGAGTGATGACAGCAATGTGGCTGGATAGGGGGTCCCTGCTTTGTGTTTCCTCCCCGTTATGCCACAGCCACCATGGGCAGCAGGCTCTGTGGGTGCTTACAAGTTCAAGCAGGAATATGTGATACCCTGATGGAGCCCAAGACAGAAAGAGTGTCTCAGCTCAAGAACTGGAAACATCCCTGTCACTATGTGGGGACTGCCACATTCCCCTCTGGCCTTGATTCTGTTGCTAAAACTTGCTGAAGATGGGCTCAGGCAGAGTAGGGCACAGTAGCGCCTCATGTCCTGGCTGTGTATCTTGCAAGTCTGCAGATGTTGGTAACACAGCAGATGAGGTGTTGGCCCTGAGTCTCTTACCCGGCCCCTCTCTGCTATGGCTGTGGAGTGGTTCTGCCAGTTTGGGGACCTTGAGGGAGGTATACCTGGTCAGTGCTCCTGTAGGCTGACCTGCTGAGCTCGCTCGCACTGTTGTACCTGAAAGCAGCCACAGAAATCAGCTCCAGATCATTTCAACTACAGTAACACAGGAGGCTCACCTGTGCAGGAAATTCTGGGACACACACCCACTGTTGCCCCAGAGAGAGGTCTGAAGGCCTGGATCTTGGTTGTTGACCTTGAAGCAGCCCTAACATTTGGTTCCAGACACTCAGTTGTACACCATGCCAATACTGCTCGTCCACCCAGGGGCTAGACAATGCCACACCCATCTGTTACTC